GGGTAGATGTCAGGGGGTAGATTTCTGGGGGCAGATTTCTGGGGGTAGATTTCCGTGGTATGGCAAATCACTTTATAAGCAAACAATTACATGTTGATTAAATAATATATTGGGAGTGCATTTCCAGTACCGGACTGTTTCTCAACCATATATAGGCCCCCGCCCCTCGTGACATAGGAGTTTTTCATGGGGGTAAATATACGGGGGTAGAAATCCGCCGTGTAGTCCTATTCCGCCCGAGTTTCATTTCGCCCTTAACCTAATTAGTCTCAATTCGCCCACGGTCCCAGATTAACCCTTATAATCCTCAGCTCTACCTGCGTCAGGAGTTTCATTCCATCCACGAAGGCGAAGCCCCGCCTCCTAGGACCTCACCCTCCCTCAAACATGGAAAGGCCCTCCCTAAGCATAGCATTAATGTAAGTTGAAACACAAAGATCTCAGCTTTAAAATATAAAGTGGTATGTCTCCTTATTGATGAAGCCGTGTTATAAAGATATGTTAAATCTTTATAATCTGGAACATTCTTTTGGGTTGAAAAGCTTCAACAGTAGGCCTAATCTATATTTAAAAATTTTTACGACATGACAGATTAATAAAATTTACAGCCCATGGCTGTTAGTTACTGTATGATTGTCTCCCCATCTGAAATGTGTTAATAACCAAGATAAATTATTTGGATTATAGCTTTTAACGGCAATCAGAAACATACAATAACACTGCAATCGATTCAACGATGTATTCAACAATCGAGTTGTTACGGTCAAGTTTATTTTTATGATTCAGGAGACTCATATAATATACGCCGTTCAAAAAGAGAAAATGAAAATTGTTATCCAAATCTTACCGCTACAAGAGTTATCCAACCTATTTTGACAAATGAATCCATACTCTCAAAACTTCGGGACAAGTATTAAGAGAAACTCAACCGAACAACGTGAGAATGATCTGATGTGGGGCATACTGTGACTGACAGAGACAGACAACACATTAAAATGTGTTAATAAACTTTCAATGGTATTGCTGCTTGCTGCTTTATCCTATTAAAAGCGAATTATGACTACTGTGTGTTAACCCAGAGTTTGTCAACATGGACCACATGAAATGGTTGACATCACCCCACACTTTACAGGATTCCCTACGGAGAAAATTCGTTGGTTTAGGGGATGTATTAAATCAAAGAAATAAATAAAGAAATTACCCAACTTAAAATACTTTACACAGGTTATACCAGTAAAGCAACGGTTTTTCTTCAATTCTCAATGATGGAAAAACTTTGTTGCAACATGTTAACTCGAATTGAAGCAGGGTGTTTAGCATTCATTAGAAGTTATCAGTTAAAACTTAGAGCAGAAATATGTAGGTGATCCTTGACGACGTAAATATTTAAAATTAGTTTCTAACAAGTTTTCAAACAACTCTAAGATGTAACTAGTATTACTCAAATTTAAGCATAACGTTTTCCTCGACGTTATGTTTCATACTATGTGAAAATACCTCAGCTGTAGGCCTATTTATTTGTTTGTTATTCTTTCAATTTATTACTTCAGGTGTGATTATTTGTTATTTTTTCCATAGACAATAGTTATTTGTGCAACTAGTGAGAAAAGTGAGCAATTAGACTCACTCGAGAGAAATCCTTACTCACGAGCCGTAGGCGAGTGAGGAATGGTTTCTCGAGTGAGGCAATTGTACTTTGAACTCGAGTTGCACATTATACTTTTCCTACAGTTACCATAAAACAAATAAATTGGTGAAGAAACATAACCTATTTTTACACAGAAGTGAACTTTTAATATAATGTTAGCATATGTAATCTTTGATAATATTAATGTGAAGTGACAAATACAACAGTACAACAGCTGACCAGCTGATTTACAGCCAGTGCTGCCAACGTATTTCGCGCGCATACGACGTTGCCTGCATGTTACGCGCTCACTATTTCGTGCATTCACGTTGCAAATCTGGAGTGAGACAAAGTAATTAGAGTGAGACAATGAACATTGTCTCACTGATGAGCGAATTGGCCACTTTGCTTTCTCAAATCAGTCAGAGAACATGTACATTGTTAGGTAACTGTAGGAAAATATTATATTTCGTACCTAGGGCCGAAAATTTCGTACCATTTCGGTCCGTGGTACGAACGCTATTTTTCACCACACTATACCCTATTACCACTATTTACCACAATAATAATACGCACTGATAGTCAACACAACTACAACTTTAAGGTTATGTGAAGAAATAATTTTAGGAATCAGCAAAAAAAATAATAAATAGTTGCTAGGCAGCGGTGACAATAAAACAATTCTATTGCAATGCATGGATACTGTATGCATTCAGGTTTTAAGAAAGTAAGCGGGCAGCTGATTTTGCGGCCCTAGGGATGTAAAAACCTGCTCGGTCCCCAAATGACGATGACAGCTGGCATGGCCAGCAAAACTTAACTTTCAGCCACCAAACAGCTAAAAACATCATAGTTTGGTGAAAAAGGTATTACTGTATTCTGTTTTGTTTATTTTAGCTTAACTTAACCAAGCAATAAGGACACATGCCACTTTATATTTTAATGCTGAGATCTTTGTGTACCAACTTTACATTATAGCCCAGCAGGGGCGTCGCCATGGGGGGGGGGTAGGGGGGGGGAGCCTCCCCCCCCCTAGAATCTGGGAAAGAGAAAAGTTGGGAATTTCCTTGCCACGAGTTGGGACAGTTGGGAAGTCAGATACAAGAAAAAAATATTTTTAAACAAATCAAAATTTAAATATATGCAAAAATCCATCAAAGATAAACATTTCTTTGACTCGGACAAATAAACTTTGATTTCATTTAACTTTGACTAAACAAGGCTAAACCATGGCTAAACACGCCTTATTTTAAGAAATCAATAATCAATTAGCGGTATAGCTTGTTGGAATTTCGTTTACGAGAAATTTTGTTCCTTATTGGACGTATGTTGGCTACCTTGATCCTGTCCTGTGTTGATGATTGTGAATGATTTCGTCTGCGAGACTGCGAGTTTGAATTTTGAAAGTGCAAGCAATGTAGCTCTTCTGTTCAATTATGTTGTTTGTTAGTGTTTACAAGAAATTCAAAAATATTTTTCACGTCAGTCAAATGAAACATATTTTATGCCTTTTTTTTGTGGTATTTGGAGCAGGCTAACTGACCGGAGTACTTGCTAATAAGCAGATTAAAATAACATTAAAGATAGGTTTTGTGTATCGGTATTTCCTTTAAAACTCTTATTTTTTAATAACCTAAATTGAATATTTATTATCTACACAAGTTATTTATCATTCCTAATTAAGGATTTACAAAAATTAATAGACTAATCACTCTGAAACAGATCTACGTGGACTTTTAAAACATAACCTAAAATTTGATGTTTGACTTTCACTCGTAAGTTTGATTTTTGTCTAAGTTCTAGTTTGATGAAAATGAAGGTTAACATTTTAATTGTATGTATAAGTTTATTATCAACCAAGTTAAACGTGTTTATTTCATTAGAGTCTTATTTTAGGTTTATTCTTTTCTAGACTAGAATAATATTATTCACAACACTTACACTAATATTTCATCATTACAAACTTGTTTAGGCCTACCCTATAAGTAATAATATATATACTAACTAATAACCCTATAATAACTATTTTTTTATAGTTGTAAGTTTTATGAAAGTTAAAATGTTGATCTTAATGCCTAAAAGTATTTTAATTTTAATTTTAATTTTTAGAAAAAATATTTTTTCTATACTTATTTGTACTCTGAGGCTTTTTTTATATCCCTAAAATTTTACACTGCTATGTCTGCTACCACAATGGTTTGTAAAGTTTTTTGGATTTGAAAGATTACTTGTTCAAGTTTTTTGAAGTCATAAAATTTCATTATGAATTGGTAGGAGTTTTAGAAATTGAGCAATTTTGTAATATGTAAAATTAGCTATGTTTTGTTAATGCAAGTTTATAAATACTGAATTGAATGTTACTGCAGTGTAGTATAATAATTTTTACATTTTTAAAAATAGTACAGAAATTGATTTAAAAAAAAAATAGTTGGGAAATCTATGTTAAGCAGTTGGGAAATTTGAGGCTTCTCCCCCCCCCCTGGAATTTAACCAAGCAACACCACTGTAATTAATGTATTAATACTATAAAGGAAATTTGCTTGGATTGTCTAGTTTGTCAAACAAATATTTTAAGTTTCAATAATTGTGTAGTCGGAGGTGAAAGGTGATGGGTATCATAGTTGGGGGAGGGTGGGTACCTAGGAGGCGGGTCTCCGCCTCCGTGGATGGAATGAGACTCCTTTCCTGACACAGGTAGAGCTGAGGATTATAAGGGTTAAACCTGGGACCGTGGGCAAATTCAGACTAATTATGCTACGGGCGAAATGAAACTCGGGCGGAATAGGACATAACCGAAATCCGCTACCCTGCTTACGTCCCCAGGATTAAAACCTTTTACACCCTTCACTAATTGTCGTGGCTTTTGTCCCCCAGCTTATAGCCAGCCATAAACATTCGTAGCTTTCGGGATGCAGCCGCCAGGCGAGCGGGTCGAGAGAGTGAGTTCAGTTCTGAGAATGCTCCAAATCCGCTGGGTATCATAGCCAAACAGAAATACTATAGTAATATGTTAGTCATCTTTATGTGCGTATATTCATTACATGAGTACACTAAATAGTCTAATAAAATAAATACAAAATTATATTACTAGAAACCTTGATTAAAACTGACCTTTAGTTCCAGGGTAAACAAGTTTACAACAGAGAAAGTTGTTTTAAGACATCAGCTCGTTAGTTGTTTAATTTTATTACCTTACCATACACCTATTGAGTGAAATCCTATTTTAACCAAACATTAAACAATTTGGTTGGGTTAATAAGGTCTTAAAAAGTTTTGTGAAAACTGTTATAAGTTAGTTATGTTAAATACTACTTAAAATAAAAAATATTTACTACAACAAATTTTAATATATATACCAATAACTTTATCTTACCTTTTGGATATTCTAAATATTTTATTGAATTGATATCCATAACATGTACTGTGGATATTAAAAAATAATTTATTTTATCAGCAGTTCCATAAATTGTTTGCAAATCCCTGGAAAACACTTGTGAGTTTTTATAACCATCACCGGTGTAAATATATATATATTGGTTGGAAGTGAAGTCGAAAGTGATGAACCGATGGTTTTGAGAAACCTGTAAAAAACAATACTTGTGACGATTATTTGTTTATAATATTTTGTGAGTATAAATAATGGGAAACTTAGGACCCTTTGCCTTTTCCTTGCATTTTAAAGTATCATGAAAATCGGACAAGTGGTTAATTCAGAATTTGTTGCATTAGCAACTAAGGTTTAATAATTCCAATAAATTACAGTTAAATTAATAGCAATTAAAATCAATAGAAACCATATAGATAATGATTCTTCAATAAAACTAGATTAATGTTTTGTATTTCATTCGGATAACTAGAAACAACCCTCTAACATTGTCTTTTATTGCTGACATTATTCCCGTGGCGGAGCACATGCGGTTAACTAGTTTGTCAAACTTCTGGACTAGCTAGAAGACTGAAATTTTGTAGACTCATTATTTAGATTATTATTAGTATAAGGAATGGTTATGCCCTGAAAGCCCTAAGTTCCAATGTTATTCTTACTAGCGAACCTGGTAATCAGAATAATTGTGCTCAATCCAGACACTGATCATTTTCGGAAATTTGCGTTTTGGGCGGAAATTTCCCGACGTTTCAGGATCCGTCCATGCCCCTATACGACATAATCCAATATTCTTTTCAATAAAAAAAAAAATGCTAAGCACTAAATAACACAAATTTTTGATAATGTTTCTTGGGACCTGTATTCTTCATACAGGAGAATGCAGGTTCCCTTAAATAGACGAAACTCGATCAAAATAATTGTTCCTTTGACATTGATTTCCTCAACACACTAAATAATATAAAAGCTGATGTAAAAAGACATATCCTAACAAAACATTATAAATTGTATACTGTCAGTGTCAAATTACAATCTTAATATATAAAACAAAATCGTGTTAGTTGTTTTAACTACCGTAACTTATAACTCCAAGAACGGCTGGACCGATTTGAATGACTTTGGTTTCGTTGGATTATTCTCTGTTTTGATTAACATAGGCATATCTAGTTTTGTATTTAGGGCTAAGCCCCACTAACCTGTGAAGTTTCTATGTTAAGCTTATGGAGCTATTGGATGAATGTAAATAATAAAATTAGCCTATATTAATTGAAAAAAATGTTAAAAAATGTGACTTTCAGTTTAATTTTTCTACGTAATTAGATTTTTGATGGCAGTTCTAACTGCAGTAAACTGGTTTTTAGGCCAAAAATAAACTATTTACAGCATTTGAAGAAAATCATCGGAGCCATTTTCGAGATCTTGGTGCAAGCAAGCAAGCATACATACATACAAGCAAACATTGCTCATATTAGAGTATAGGATATAATAGCTTATTTGTAACAAAATGTTAAAGGATTAAAACGTCATGTTTGGATTACGATTTTAAATAGATAAATGTTTTTGAAAAGAACAAATCTATGTGTTAACATTGGGGTATTTATTATTTGCTTTTCCATTCAATTTACAAACTAAATTTCAATTACCATTTTTCGTCCAGGTAGCTACAGCTTATATATTTTGGTCCTATTATTTACTTAGGACATTAAAAGTACTTGTAGGAGTCTACACTTTGCACGGTATTGTAAAATCTAAAGCCTCTATAGAACTATTCCCGCTTCGATATTGTCCTATATGTATCTGCCCCGTGGGCTTTTAAAAATTTGAGGTGAGAGATTTAAAAGTAAAATACTGATTGATGGTATCCATGGCAACAAAGAACATACCTACCAGTTTAAAAATGTAAACATGCAGAACTAAACTAACTTTCAAATGAATTTTGATTTCGCAATTCCACACAGCTGGTTCAAACATATTAAATACTGCACGGATATTAGAACAGAGAGGGTAAGGATTATAAATTTAAAATAATGGTGTCATTAGCCCAGATGTAAACATTATTTAACATTACTTAAATGGAGCTGTCAAACCATATGTTAATGTAATTTCATTAGTATAGGATTCTTTCAGTTACTTCATTTGTATGGGAGTTCAAGAACTTTTAGTTATGACATGACTATTTAATTTTGCAAGATCTTTCACAAGGAGGATTCTTGGTCAAGACACTTATTTATATTATCCCTTTTACTAATTGTTCAAAGTACTGAACAGATTGTAAAATAAAATTAAGTAAAAAAAAAAAAAACTTCAATGTTTATGTTCTAATATTTGTAAAATGCTGTAATAATATTTTACAGGGAATAATTCGTTGTAGGCCTAAAAGATAACATTCATTGATATAGGAAACATTAAGATTCTATAATCATTGCCGTATCAACCTAGGCCCTTATCCTGAATTTGATGAGGTTTATTTTTTTTTTGTGTAAACAGTAATATAATCCCCCTGCCACAGCAAATCTATTAGTGATGTGACGAGTCGAGTATTTTCTTGACTCGAGTCAAACTCGACTCACGACTATGTCAACTCGAGTTGCAACTCGAGTCAGACTCAACTCGGTATCATCGTGAAACTTCGGCTTCCATCGGTCTAGTTTGGGTCGACTCGCAGCGCAGCCAATAGGGTTATAGTTTGGCGAGTCGGCTGAACTCGCATTCAGCCAATAGCGTTTACATTTCGCAAGTCAACCGAGTCAACTCGTTACGTCCCGAGTTCGTAAGGTTCGGCTTTCTCTGTATGAGTTCGGTTTCTTGACTCGCTTTGAGGCTGTGAGCCAATAGTGTTTAAGTTTTGCGAGTCAGACTCGTTACATTCCGAGTTCGTGTAGCTTCGGAAATCTACCTACGAGTTCGTACCAACTCGAGTTGTGAATGAGATGACTCGAGTTGACTTGACTCGGGTCTTGACTCGAGTCAACTCGACTCGCCAACTCAACTCGTCACATCACTAAAATCTATAGACTGAGCGAATTTCCATTTGCCTGATTATAATTTCACTAAAATATGTTAGAAAATTACCCTATTTTCTATATTTATTTATATTTTCCTATTTGTTTCTATTTTTCGGTTTGGAACTATTGTGATAGCTTTTAGTTTATAGTGCAAACCATTAAACACATTATTTTATTATACCTTAAAATCTATCATAGGTTTTGTATTGTAGGTAGCCTAAATAATTATTCACAGTATGAGTTAACAAAAACGTACTATTATTAAGTTAAGTAATACAGTTAAATTTTGTTTCTAAATTACATGGTAGGAGTGAAACCATTTGGCATTTTCAAAGAACCAACATTGCTCTTTTGCATACTGACCCTCCGAGGATACATAGAACTATTCCCACTTCGATATAGACCTAGGACTATGCCCCACTGGCTTTCAAAAAATGAGGTGAAAGTTTTAAAAGTTAATATTGATTGATGGTATTCATGGTAACTAGGGACGATATCGATTCCAATCCGTGGGGCTTGGGTTACAAACTTGTAACCAAGAAACTTGGCACCCGCTCTCCACCTTCCGTCATGGATGGGGCCACTATAGAGAGGATAGTCGAGTCCCTTTTCCCGGCTCACAAGTTGCGCCCACTGCGGGATTTTGGAAGGGTGGATGACGTACCACTTTTCAGTCTTGGAGAGGTGGAGACGGCCGTCCTATCCCTGAAGAACAATAAAGCTCCTGGACCCGATGGGGTACCCGGCGAAGTCCTCAAAAAGGTTTTGACTTTTCACCCCTTGATCCTTTTGCGCATGTACAACGCCTGCTTAGTCGAAGGAGTTTTCCCCTCGTGCTGGAAAACAGCTAGGCTTGTGCTTGTTGGGAAGGGGGAGGGAGACCCAGACCTACCATCCTCTTACAGACCTCTGTGTATGTTGGATACGGCTGGTAAAGTCCTCGAGAAGTTGATCCGTTCCCGACTGAATTCAGCCGTGGTCGCTGCGGGGGACCTGTCCCCTCGCCAGAATGGATTCAGGATGGGGCGATCTACGGTTGACGCTGTTGAAGAGGTGAAGCAAGCCGTGATGAGAGCTGAGGATTTTAACCACTACTCTCGAAGGGTTGTGCTGCTCGTAACTCTCGATGTGCGAAACGCATTTAATTCGGCGAGGTGGTGCGATATGCTGGATGCTCTGGAGAAAACACCTTTCACGTGCCGGCATACCTCATGCGTATCATAGAGGATTATCTCCGGTTCCGCCTCCTCATGTATGACACTACAGGTCTCTCGCTTGCTTTGAGCAAAACTGAGATCGTGATATTAAAAAAAACGGATTGACACCATCGTGCCATCGTGGGTTGAGGGTAGGGGCCGTCGAAGTCCAGACCGTTCGTTCTGCCAAGTACCATGGGATTATGGTGGACAGCAAGCTTAGCTGGCGGGATCAGATTTTCCGTACGGCGGACAAGGCCGCTAGGGTGGTCTCTTCTCTGAGCCGGCTGATGGCCAATGTCGGAGGCCCTCGGTCCAGCCGTAGAAGGCTGTTAATGTCTTCTGTCCAGTCCGTACTCTTGTACAGCATGAGCAGGCGTTTTGTCAGCACGTGAAGCAGTCATCCTATATGCATTTGCCACTTGTCGGGCCTCACGCTGAGCAGGCGCTTCCTGAGCACGCGAAGCAGCTGTCTTATCGGCATCTGCTGTTTGTCGGGCTTCACGCTGAGCAGGCGTTTCTTCAGCACGCGAAGCAGCTGTCCTATCTGCATCTGCTGTTTGTCAGGCCTCACGCTGAGCAGGCGTTCCGTTAGCCTGTGAAGCAGCCGTCCTATATGCATTTGCAGTTTGTCGGGCCTTACGCTGAGTAAGCGTTTCAGCAGCTCGCCGTGAAGCAATTGTTATTGTGCTCGTCAGCAAGCGTGCTTCTCGTTCTTCTATTGTTTCATTTCGTTGATACTCTGCAACTCTTCTGGCATTTTTAGATTTTTGAGATAAGTTACTTTTTCTCTTTGGCATTATTAGGCATATTTACGTGTTAAATGTTCCTTATATTCACCTATGCAAAACTGTACTAATAAATATATCAATTTAAGAGTTAGATATAGTAAAAACAGTAAACTTTAAATCAAAATACAATTTCAAAACAGAAACACAAACATTTGTCATAAAAACACTGCAGGATCATATCAACTAAGCTAACAGCTGTGATATAATAATGTCTAACAGCTGTGATTATTAAAGACAGTTGAAGAGGAAAAAATCAACAAAATATAAGTCAAATGTAGGCCTATGAATACAATAAAACCCTCTTTGGCTTAGGTTAAATGGGTTTGTAGCAAAACACATATAAATAAAAACACATCCTAGTTGTCTAAATGAAAACAAAGTTAATAGCAAGTGCAAGCTAATCTACTCGGTGGCCCATAAGTCAGTTGAGCTTGCAATTTTTTTTTAATTTTAGCAGTTGGTACCATACACAGCTGTAATACCCTGTGTAATACCCAGGGCTATGTAATACCACAGCTGTTGGGAGTTGTGTTTAGTAATTGTTGTTGTTTAGTTTGAGGTTATGTTTGATAGTTATTCATGATAGTGTGTTCATTGTTATTCGATAAACAATGAATAGAAAGTTAACAACAGAACAGCGTTTATTTGTTTTGCAAACATGGTGGAAACATGGCCATAGTTATAGTGATGTGTGCAATTTGTTTGTAGAACGTTTTCCGAATGTTCAACCTCCATCTCGACAGTAAATGTTGTTTTTGAGTTATGAATTAATAATAGACATGTATTCCATTTTGTTGTGTATCATTTCATTAAATGCAAATTTGTCAACTGACTTATGGGCCACCCAGTATATATTAATTTGAAACTGTTTTTCTTTGTGACAGCTAATTTGAGAGAACGGCTGGGCGTAGAAACTCGGTAGAGGTGTCTAAAGAAAGGGCTTGGTCTGTAGATGAGCCATCAAAAGAGAAACGTGGTAAATTCCCTTGGGGCTCTGCCCCAGTGGCCTTTAAATTCCATTCCATGTTATTCTTATGGGCAAAAACGGGTTTTTGTCACAGCTAATTTCAGAGAACGGCTGGGCGTAGAAACTTGGTAGGGGTCTCTAAAGAAAGGTCTTGGTCTGTAGATGAGCCATCAAAAAAAAAACGAGGTAAATTCCCTTGGGGCTCTGCCCCAGAGGCCTTTAAAGTCCCCTCAGCAGATTTGTTTACATTATGACAATATGTATAATTTTACACTACTTTTTAATGAAACAGCTGTTAATATTTAAATTGTGATTTACTGAATTTGTCAAAATGAAGTATTTGCAATGGTTTTTTCTGATTTTAAAATCGATTTTCTTCTGCATCGTGTCACGTTTTGCAATATAATGTTCTATTGCCAAATCGGTGGAAAATCCTAATATCACAGTAACTCTTAAAATTATTTCTTATGGAGTTAACTTATGTCTATTGTATGGGTAGTTTTCTGCCTTTTTTACCACTTCTTGGAGATTGTACGTAGGTGTGTTGCACGTAGATGATATTCTTTGGCGTATTGCATCTGTAGACGATATTTGGGTTGGTGTAATTATTACAATGGAAAAAAGGGAGAAATCCTGGACATTTTGATATAGGCCTACTAAAAATAAAACTGAATTAACACTGTGCTACATTTCTTGAGCAATCATTGAAAGAGTCGATTTGCAAACAATGGAAACATAAGAAAGTCATAGAACACAACCAAGTAGAAGAAATAGAAATAATGTTTTTTTTCTTCATTTATAATTGTTATTTTAGAGAACCTAATGCGGCTATGAGTGGGAAACATTTGTAGAAAACTCTAAAAAACAAGATCAGCTTTTGAAAAAAGATAAGATATTTACAAACAGTTTTGATTATATCTAACTGTTGTGTACATCGTGAGTATTTCCATAATCTTTGAGTCGACTTTTAAAAGTAATCGGAAATTATGACCGTTATTCGTTTTAAAATAACGCCTGTAATGCTTCGCAATTGCTCGAATTCGAGCAACAGGTACACTAGTTAATTCATGATTTAAAATGGGAAAAATAACATGACCAGGCACTGCAATCAAACATGGATCACCAGCCACACTCACAGATCGTCATCATAAAAGTTCAGATATTACAACAGGATTCCAACTACTTGCAGTATCCAAAATCAACTCAATGGGAATGGAGAGAGGGAATGGATCATAAACATAAAAAATGATGGTACTGGACAAATCCACTAATAACATTAACATAGTGGTTTAACAGCTCCATGTAATGTTAAATAATGTTTACATTCGGGCTAGTGACATAATTTATTTATGTTTATGATCCATACTGTTTCTATTCTAATATTCATGCAGTATTTAATATGTTGGAACCAGCTGTGTGGAATTGTGAAATCAAAATTCATTCCACAGTTAGTTCTGCTTGTTTACATTTTTAAACTTTGTAGTTTTGTTCTTTGTTACCATGAATACCATCAATCAATTTACTGTACAAACTATGTACAAAAAAATGAATAAAGAACTATGACTATGACTATCCTTGTTACTGGTATTGATAAACCTAAAGCATTCCGACCGTTTTTCTCCTTCTCAAAATGCCTCGCTTTACAGACAACACAGGTCATTGATAGAGGGCCAATTGAGAACAAAAAATCGTTTTGGGGTAGCGTTAGGGCGCATTTGTAACCTACGAGCCACTGTTCTGTAGCTGCAGTCTTTATCACAATTACGCCTCCTGTCTATGTTTCGTTGTTGTCGCGTCGGAGGCATTTAAAAGAAGAAAACAACAAATAAACAAATTATAGCTACACAAAACAACGATAAATGCAATAATTTAAGTTACAATCATGCTAACACGATCCCTCATAGCGACACAAAACCACGATAAATACACAAATTTCAGATACAACCATACTAACACGATCCGTCTTGGGGGTTATGTTTACACGAACTCAAATCTTATCTTACTAATATTTATAAATGTGAAAGTTTGTGTTTTTGTTTGTTTGTTTGAAGTTCAATCATGCATAAACCACTGGACGGATTGGGCTGAAATTTACCATGATGATAGCTCACATTCAGCTTGCCTTAATTCCTATGCCACGACTCCTACGACTCCCATGACTAGTGAGTAGTGACTAGTGCAATTGCACTCTTGACCGTCATGGAATAAGCACAGTTGGCAGTGAATATATTACTTGGAGAAGAGGAGGAAAAGGAAATATTAATGTGCATGTTAAGAAACAATGAACAACCTAATCCATTCTTCATGGTATGGCGAAAAGGGGGGTTTCAGAGTATTCTTATTCAGAAACATCTTCGAAGTATTGGGGGTGCTTGGGAAATGTATGGGTGGTGACGAACCAGTTCCATCAACTTTGAATCGTCTATGAAGGAAGGTACACACCTCAAACTCCGTATATATCTTACTAATATTATAAATGTGAAAGTTTGTGTGTTTGTTTGTTTGTTTGAAGCTCAATCACGCATAAACTACTGGACGGATTGGGCTGAAATTTGGCATGATGAAAGCTTACATTCCCTATTAACATATAGGTATATTATTATCTCAAAAATCCTTTCGGGCTCCGCCCCAGTGGCTCTGCAGTTCCCCATGTTAACCTTATGAGTATTCATATTTAAAGGGAATTAAAGCATTTAGTCAGCTGTTTCAACTAAAAAAGTTGGTTCTATGAAATACAAAAGCATTAAAAAGTTATAAGATTTACCTACAGGGTGCAGCACTATAATTATTTTTGCATTGATGTACAGCTAATTTGAACTAAGCAACAACAACCATCGATCTCTAGAGATCGATGGCAACAACAAACTGTGATACGCAATGAGAACTGTCAAAGTAGGATTGTTTACAGTTATTTTTTTGTCATGAATAATTTGTGATTTTTGCGAATATTTAATAATTAATTTTTATTTATTGTTTAGGTGAAGTGGTAGAACATTAATGGTTGGTAGATGTGTAATACTATAGTATACCGTCAATTTAAAGAAGCAAATTGTATCAAACTGTGTCCCCTCCCCCATTGCAAACGCAAAGCTTGAGTATAAGTGCACTACGCATTTTAAACTTATATTCCAACCCCGTACGAAGGTTGGGTACTCTGCTAGTAAACTATAAATTCGTTCCAGCCGCACGACTGAACTGCTCACGGAGCAGTCCAGTCACGACGGTTCGAGTCGCTCCAGTCGCGCGGCTGTAGACGCTCGATGGGACATTGGACAAACTATAAACAAAAAATTTAATCCTCAAAAAATATTCATCGTTCTACATGAGTACAAAACACTTAAATTTTGTTTACATTTTATATGATAATACTGTAACTTTGATTGTGAAATATATTAAACTTACCTCTAATTGGGTTTTTGAGTCACAGCCAAATTCTCTGTTTCCATGAAGCTCTGAGACCATAATATTAAGCATATAAGGCTTGTAGTGGTAGCTGTAGTGGTAGTCATAGTCGCTACGTTTAGTGCAGGAATAATAAATATCAATGATTTGAGAACTAAATCGTACTACAAAAACATTCTTCAAATGTATCAAACTTTCTTTACCACTTATGAAAATTATATCAGTTTCATTTAATGCATGTATATTAAAAGTAAAGTTTGCTTGTTTGCTTACTGCATAAGTCTTCCCATTTGTGAGCGTTTGACCTGAAACATCAACTTTATGAATTAAATTATAGTACTCAGACAAAATTACTAAGTAGTACCACTTTTAGCGAATTTCCCATATACCGTAGTACTTATGGTAAGACCTGGACGCGGGACCAATTTTTTGTTTTGTTTTGAGGTCCCTAGAGGCCAAAAACACCATCCGTTCAAATTCATATATATATATATATATATATATAAAATTATATATTCATATATTTATGTATATATAATAATTATGGTTGTGATTAGGGCTACTACTATATTAATAATTGGAAACATTATAACAACATTAAGTACCCTTTTAAATTCATTTAATTAAGAAACGACATGTTTCGACACTTAGGTCATAGTCATGTTTTTTTACAAATGAAAAGAATAAATATAGTCATATGTTAATCTAACTTAAAATTTAGAGGATCTTGATCTATTCTTTGTTTAATTTTGCGTATATTATATAATATTTCTGTTTTATTGCAATTGTAGGATTTTTTCGAATATCGGATTTGTTTTGTTGATGATCATGGTGTTCAGTAAATTTTGAGGAAATCTTTTGTAATTTGTGTATATATGAAAATCTTCCTTGACATTTAATTTTGCTTTATTTCTTTCATAATCTAGAATTTTTAAATTTTATTTATATTTTTGTATTCATGTCGAGTTTCGATAAGGTGCTCTGCAAAATTTGATTTCATTGTCGTTTTGTTACCTGATTTCAACGCAATTATGTATATATATATATATATGTGTCCGTTAGCACGATAACTCGAGCAAAAATGATCCGATTTTGATGAAATTTGGAACAAACGTGTACCTACGTTTATTCGAACGAGTTCGCGATCCAGCATGATCGGACCATGGGAATTTAAAGGGGTAAAAATAGGTTTTTCCCATTTTTGACCCAAAAAACATAAAATTTAGCAATTTCTTTCCAAACCATTTTGTAGAGCTTAAAAAACAAATAATTTTGTATATTGAAGCGTTATTATGCGCCTAATGGTTACGGAGAAAATTCCAAAAAATTGTAAATTTGAAATTCCTATGTTATTCTTATGGAGAATAAGTAAACTGTTGTAGTTTGCTTGTTTATGAACATATTTTGATCAAATTTGGAAAATGTTTTTATTTCTTACTAACTATTAACATTTTACCAACAAAAAAAAAACAGTTTTACCCTCCCTGATGCAGTACTTGTAAAACTAATTCTATTTAAATAGGGAATAAATGTTATATTTTTAAGTACACATTTCAGTGTAAATCCAATCAGTCAAATGGAAATTCGTTAGTCTACAGGTTTGCTGCGGCTGGGGTATTTAATGGTATGTAGTGATTTAAACTGTTTGTGGTTTGCTTATAGCTTAGAGAGCAGCAATCCAGTAGTTCTTTACATTGTTATGTGGGGCAGAGCAGGGATAATTTTTGACACCTTAACTTAAGCTTTAAAATAGATCCTCAACAGCTATGCTACCTTTTTCTTAGCTCGAGATATTTTGTGAGGACCGATTCGCTTACGGAATTAAATATATACTAGTAGCTTGTAGGGACATAAGTCCCTAAAAAGCTCAATAATGTAAAACAAATTATTCTAATATTCAAACAAATTAAGAAATATATTATCTATATACTATGTGATGTGTCAGAATCCCTGTACGCCATATCTTTTGTGTAAAAAAACAGTTTGTTGTTTGTCTTTGTAGATGATATGTAATAAATACAAGTACTTGTAACTTGTATAACTATTTATTCATAACTGGAAAGTAAATATCGCTGAAATCTATCAATAAAATAAAATTTTACTAATCATAACACTCATTTAAAAACAATTTTGGCAATAGCAATAATTATTATCACATTCATAGGCAAGATCAGTGCATAAAGTAAACAATAACAACAGGGTGATTTAGTCAACAGCTGATAAGCTTGAAACAGTGTGTATGTATCCGTTGTATAATAACTCCCTGGATTGCGCGCTCAGGTTTAAGTAGGGCTCGAAAAACGGTCCGCCGCTGCCTCGCTCTGTCCGCGAGGAGTGGGGATAAAGGCATGAGGCACCCTAGTGGCGAGCGTCGCGCCCGCTCTCGCCGTGTATTGCTATATTAGTTTTGTGGAAATATTCCGAGGATAATTGATTGTAACGAACTTAAGGAGGTTTTATATGCAGATATAATTAATCTACGTACTTGCTCACACTTTATAGACATGTGTCAAAAGTAAATACCATAAGAAATTAAGTGATGTCATGAAAGAGTTAGATTTATTAATACTGTATTTCAATCAATCAATCAATAAATTATTAAGATGGGGACGCCACTTAGGTGCGTATTTTAACCCAAATATGAGTGAAAGACAAGTTTAGAATGGTGTGAGATGATCTGTGTAGCTTTGTTACTGACTAAGATCAGCTGTTTCATTAGACAGGATCATTTATTTAAAGCCCAATGATCAGGAACAGCTGGGTCCAGTTTCGAACCATCAAGAACATTAAACCAGCGAACACATAACAAAATAGAAGCGCTACTCGGAGCGCAGGAGCGTGGCAGTCTCAGGGGCGGACTGGCCCGCCGGCCCACCGGCCGGAGGGCCGATGCGCCTTCTCAACATTCCAATATTTGCGCCCTCGTTAAAGGAAAAATTCATAAAAAAAATTTTAAAAATGAGACGAGATGTATTTTTTTGAAAGCAAGAGGAAAAACTTAGAGTTAAAGTTTCAGCAGTGAATAGCAAAACATAAAGTCGGGTGTGAGACCTGAATAGACACTGTCGACAAGCGAGAGCAAAGCAGCTCTTCTCTCTCGTACGTGTAGGCCTACTCCGAGTGGAAATATATTCAATGGTGGAAGGCACTTACTTTACTCTGTGGTCTGAGCAAACAGCTGTCCTCTTCCCGCGTCATTTTACGCCGATCCCGAAAAAAACTGCACTGCGACCACGAGTACTAGAAAAATGCCGGTATGGATCATAAACATAAACAAATTACGTTTTTGGCCCGAAAATAAACATTATTTAACATTGCTTAAATGGAACTGCCAAATCATATGTTCAATGCTCAGTATAGGATTCGGGCCAACAACGTCATTTGTTTATGTGTGTGATCCATACCGGTATTTTTCTAGTATTCGTGACTGCGACTACATCCGACATCGGTCGGTGTCACGATGTCGTCTGTGGTAAACAACTAGTGAAGATAATTTAATATTATTCATATTTGTTATAATATTTAATTATTGCTCACACTATAACTATTTCACTTTAAGTCACATTTAATTTTATCAATATCAACTCAACTCTCTTGTAAAATGGCGTTTGCCGTGCATGTAATAAATAAATAAAGAGTTTGAGCTGCCAGTGCCAATTAAAATGTGTCTCTCTTTAGTGGGTGTCTGATTTGTGTCTCTGTGTCGAAAGCTTCAATTTATTTTTATATTCTTTACCTACACAGGAAACATGAACGAAAGCAGTATTGTAGAATCACTACTTTTACAAAATTTAAATATATTTAGTGACAGTGTATTTATTTGTTAACTTAACCATTACACAGTAAAGGTTAAACAGTAAACAGTATTTTAATATGTGGCTACAGCCTATTAATTAACTATTTCAATATGCACTATGACACTAATTTTGTCAACTTTCCTAATTTACTTACAGATAGCCAGCCTAAAATACCTTCTTAGTTCTCTCTAGGCTATTTCGTTTGTAGAAATAGGTTAGGTAGGCCTACTTTAGGGTTACAGTTTTGACTTAATGTAATGCTAAAAAGTTTAAGTCAATAAATTGGTTTTGTTCACAGTGAAAGCATATTGTTTGTGTTAAAATAATTTCATAGAAATCTAAAATATATAACTTCTGTTATTTACAGTGCCAAAAAATACAACAGTTGCAAGTTCATGCTGTAAACAGGAAGCAAATGATTTATATTGTATGCATGCAGCCAAGCCATGCAAGGGAAAACAAAGAAAATCCACAAATATAATACGAAAGAACCTAAGAAAATCATTTGTATTTTTATTTTTGTTAGGATATTTACTGTCAGAATAGCACCAAGTCGTGTGGGTAAATAGTCTAAATTTTGTAAACCAAACATTAACCAATAGTGTCAGTTATCAGATTTCTGATTTTCCACTGTTAATGCCTCTAGATTGCCTAAAAATGCGAGTTTACAGGTATAATTTTTAAAAAATGGCCCGGGGGAGGACCCCCGGACCCCCCTCTGTACAGGGGGGTATTCCATACCCCCCAGACCCCCCGGTTGGCGCCTTCGGGCTGGTCAAGGTTTACGCCCTAATAGAGTACCCAGTCCGCCCCTGGGCAGTCTTACTAGCCGGCGAAACGGACAAAGATGGCGGCGCTAGCCTACCTGTCAGGGAAGTGCACTCGAGTTTGAGTCTAAATATCTCAGAGATGAATAATCCAATTTTGTTGAAACAAAAATTAAATATAAGCTGGTTTAAATACATTTTACGTGGTAGCAATAAAAAAAATCCGTTAACCAGAAAAATTTATATTGTTGAAAGATCCTAAAAAGTACCGGGTTTTAAGAAACTCTGCACTAACACTGAAGTTTAAAATTTAATTGTAAACAAACCACTGAGCCAATCGGCCTGCCAGTTGCGGGATAAATTTTTGTTTACAAATATAAATCTGTTTAAAAAACACCTTATTTCGCATTATTAATCTGTCATATTGGTGTTATTTCTTGTGTCACGACAAACACGATGATATTTTGAACGAAATTTTTAGCGTCTTATTAACGATGTTAGCATACGTTTTAAAAATAAACATCAGCCTAAAAACTATCGTGAGTAAAAATTTTAAAATGCATGGAACTGTTAACAATAAATCTACCAATAAGCCATACAAATTTCAGAAAGATTGGCTTAGTGGTTTGTTTACAATTAAGTTTTAAACTTTTGTGTTTGTGCAGAGTTTCTTAAAAACCGGTACTTTTTATAATCTTTCATTATAAAAATTTTTCTGGTAAACAGACATTTTTTTAATTG